TGAACGGTTTATTTGGAAATTTGTTTTTATGAAAGTACTTTATTTTGGGCAACATTAAACTGATTTTATGCATTTTAAATATGGTTATCCCTTCAGCACCCTAACTATATACCTGTATTCACTTGACATGAATATGCACAAGTTGCTTTGTGTTTGGGATTCTGGTAAAAGTGATTTATGCGCTTCCTAATTATAGTTTGGAAATCTTTCCATGTCAGCCTCTTGAAATCTACCTCATTCTTATAAATAGCTATATGCTACTGTCACAATGGATTATCTCAATGTGCAAAAACAGAATATACTTCTCTTAAATATTATATTTGGCTCTTACCTGGCCAAGAACTAAAAGGCAAACTGGTCACACAAAATTTAAATAAATCCTGTCATATATATTTCTTAGCCGTCTCATTAGGAAGTATTCTAAAATTACATTTTATAGCAGCAACTGCATTTATAGCCCTAGAGGTGATGTTATTCTTATAAAATATTAAGAGAAAAAAGGAAAGGAAAATACCATTTGTAAGTAAGATTATCTCAGACTGTTAACAGAGACTTAGAGAAGGAACTAAGACTTTTTTCTTTTAGGGTCTTTTCTGATATATGTATATACTCTTGCTATTCTTACTGCTCCATACAATACTGTTTTCTTTTGCCAAGACAGCATAGGAGTAACATTAAACATTTTAGAAGTGTAACCCTGAAGTGTGTAAGCACTTGTATGAGCTGTTCTTAGATCAACTGTGTCAAAAATGACCTATAAGGCAGAATATGTTTTCTCATTTTATTTTAGGAAAGACTGTTTGTCAATGAAGAAAATGTTGATGAGGTTCTTGAAGAGGTCCTGAGCCCTCCATTTAATCAGACAATGTCCTTAACCCCACCATTAATTGAAGTTCTTCAGGTTACTGATTGTAAGATTCAAATTCATGCAAAGGTAAGGATTTGGTGGCCTCTGTAGTGATTTAGGACAAGATTAAAGCCTGACAGATAACTTAATTTTTGATTTCTTGATGTCATAACTTTAAATTAAATGTACATAATGGCTGGGAAGACTTAAGAGGAGTAAAGACTTTTTTTGCATGTATTTTACTATGTGCCAAACACTTTGTGACATTCATTTTCACATATATCTCATTTAATGCCAAAATAACTGTCCACTGAGGAGGAGGGAAAAAACTAACATTTGGGAAGTTTGAGTATGAGTTCGGGGACAAACAAGTCTTTTTGACTCTCAAACCATGGGATGGAGCTATGTCATTCAGTTTGTTTATTCTTTCTAGTTGAACCTTAAGTGTGGTTATTTTTAATCTTTAATATTGGACACAAATAATTTAGTAACTAGCACAATTGATTTACATATGAATTGGGGAGGAGAGTGGTTTGAAGAATCACAGAAATTCAAGAAAATTCAAGAAATTAAAGAATGTCCTTTTAAGAATTGACTACTGGGGCGCCTGGGTGGCTCAGTCATTAAGCGTCTGCCTTCCTTCCGCTCGGATCATGATCCCAGGGTCCTGGGATCGAGCCCCGCATCGGGCTCCCTGCTCCGCGGGAAGCCTGCTTCTCCCTCTGCCTCTACCCCTGCTTGTGCTCCCTCTCTGGCTGTGTCTCTCTGTCAAATAAATAAAAATAAAATCTTTTAAGAAAAAAGAATGACTACTAAAGGGTTTTGTAGGCCAGGATTATTTTATTCTGAAGGAGATAAGGGGTCATTGAAAGCAATTAATCAAGAATTAATGCCAGGTTTGCACTGTCTGCATTGTTAAAAAATAACTGGCAGCATTTGGAAGATAACTTTGAGGGGGGGAAGCCCAGAAGCCTATTTGCAGATCTGTAAGCATTATATATTAAAAAAAAAAAACTTAAAAAAAGAAAAATTAAAAAAAAAAAACCTATATCCAGAGAGTACAATTTAATTTTCTGTTTTTTTCAAAGATTCTTAATTTGTTGTTTCTCTTGACATAGTTGCAAGAATGTAGTAACTCTGAACAGCTTCATGAAAGGGAAGAAAAAGGCGCTGAAGGAAGTCATCTAACTGAAAAAGAAAATACAGAACATCCTACCACCTCAACAACTGATTCTGATTCATCTACAGCAGTTAAAGTACTAGAAACAGACAGTTGTGGTTCAGTTGTATGCTTGCAACAAGGGTCTCTTGATGTTTCTCACATGCTGTTTGGAAAGTCTCAGCAACCTGAGTCAAAAATGGAACCTGAATTTATAAAAGAAAAAAGTCCTGTTTACTCAAATGAGGAAAAAGATGACTTAAAAGAACCAATGATAACAGAAGAGAAAGAATTAGATGGAGATGACCTATCTTCATTACTAAACAAAACTACAGTTCACAATTTACCTGGTCTTCACAACATAAAAGAAACCAATATGCAGGACGGTAGTGTGCAGTTTATTAAAGATCATGTGACTCAATGCGCATTCACTTTTCATAATTCTTTGCTATATGACTTGGACTAATTCTATATAATTTTAGAGTTTAAAAGTAAAAATTTTTTGGACTTAAAATAGATTATCTTTCTGTTAACTACGATCTTAAAGTATTCAAGAAAGTATAAAATTAAAATTTGCAATTTTGATTCTAATGGGGAAACTAGAGAGAATTTTTTTTTTTTTTTGCATGTAGAGTTTATACAAAGTTTTCTTAATTATGGAGATTTTTGTGATTCCTCTAATAGATGTATATTTTTTCTAATGGACAGTTAAACATTTAGTTTTAATACAACCTGTATATATTTGCTTGTTTGTTTTTGGCTTCTTTTGTTTACCATTACTTTAATAAAGTTTCAAAGTAAATATTCACTAAGTTGTGTCTGTTACAAAAAGTAATTTTCAAGAATGCAATTAACTAGAAATTAATCAGTATGTGTGTGTGGGTAGGGGTAGAATCTCCAAACTATGCCTTTAGGTTTCACTAAATAGGATGTATTTATGCTTGAAATAGAGATTCTTAGAACTTTACTAACCAATATTAACCATCCAATTATAATACAAATACACTGAATGAAATTTAGTATTTTTGCTTCAACTCTGTATTTTATGTGTGTCACACACACACACACACACACACACACACACTATATATATAGAGAGAGAGTTATACAGGTTATTTAGTGATGCTTTAAAATTCAACTTAAAAGATGTTTTTGGAAGTTACTGTTGTTAAAACATTTCTTGGTTTTATAGAATACATTTATCAATTTTTATTTATTTATTTATTTTGACATTTATCAATTTTTTAAAAGCTTTTAAGTAATCTCTATACCCAAATGTGGGGCTCGAACTTACAACCCTGAGATCAATAGTCAGACACTCCACCAACTGGGCCAGCTAGGTACCCCTACATTTATGAATTTTAGAACAATTAAAAATCTGGGAATTTGCTCCCATAGGAAAATTGTCTTCACTATATTACATGAAAACAAACCAAAAAGCCAGTGTTTTCTAGTCAGTTTCTCTTGTAATAGCTAAAAAGGGCAACAGATAATTTATCTTAACAGTGGCTAAGTTATTAATATTTATATTGGAGGCCAGGAGAAATCGAATAGGTTTTTTTCTCACAAAAATTTTTAGTACAGCATGAAAGAAAATGTAGAAAGGAAAATATTTGTTGATCTAAGTGCAGACCCCAAAGCCATGAGCTAGTTTATCTGATCTATTTCTCATTCAAAATAGCTAATTCAAGCCTCTGGCTTCCCTTAGTCCTGGAAATTAACTCATTTTTTTAGTCCTTTGAACTGGTGAAAGTCAGATCAGAGTACCAAAAGCTAGTACAAAGCCTGGCAATTCATCCTGATTTACATTTAGAACCCCTAGAAAATCTGGAACCAAACTGGGCTGTGAGGGTAATAAAAATATAGCTCATAAAGCAAGAGATCTATTTTGTTCCACCTAGAACGACCACATGCATTTTGTCAACCATATGACTTAATTTGACGAAATAATTTCAAAATTGTCCATTTAATACACAATTTTCTTAGACTGAAATGATGTCCTATCTACACAGAAATTAGTGTCTGAGTAACTTCTGGTTGAATGCAATTATATACTATTAAGAGAAACTTCCACATTAAATATGGAATAAATTTTAAGCATGTTTCCTATTATTTACTATGTCCTTTTAACAAGTATAATTTCAGTTACAGCTGGCACTAGAACATTTTCACTTTGGCATGACTGAACTTTCTATCATTTCTGGCTTTTGAAAACAATTTAGTCTGTATTTTACTTACACAGCAGCTTTTTATTGTTCATTATCTATGCTTGGCTAATTTGAAAGCCAGTCTCTTCTAAAGGGAATGCATTGTCCAGAGTGGGGTTTTCTTTATTTCAAACTCAGTTATATGATGTACAAATAGTACACATGAAGATGTAATGTAAACTTTAAAACTTCTAGAATGCCTTCACTGAATTTTGGTGTAAAGAGTAAACAAAATTTATTCTGCAAAATAAGTAGGAACCTTTTTATGCAAAAATGAGTATTTTATTTTGGCAGCACTAAAATAAAAAAAAAAACCCACTGTATTTCTACATTGAGGTGAAAACAGTGTTTAAACTTTCTTATCAAATACATTCCAAAAGAAAGTGTGTTCCAAGAAGGTTCCAAAGCACAGGCAAATCTTAACACAATAGAGGAATCGGTAATACTGAAAATGTCTGTTCTGATAGGGTGTTTAACAAACATAACTTTTGAATTATAAAACCAGTGAAGCAATCCTTTCCTAGTAACCGTGTCAAGAGTGAAATTGGGCTTGTTCGATTAATACTAACAACTCCATTGTAATACTTTTTACTGCTATGACAGTTTTAAATAAAGTCTGCTGTACTTAAAATAAGTTTTGAAAGTGGAAAAGTGTACAAAGTTCCAGATAAAAAGATTAATAGATGCAATTTAAATAAAATTTCCCCTCTTTTCTTTTACCAATTAACAATGATTACCTTTAGCAGATACAGATTGAACTTTAAAACCCAACTCCCAAAATGAAAACTTGTGTTTAAATTTTAATCAGACATAGAAGGAAAAGATTACTATATGTGGACACCTTTTACAAGAATTTTTTTTTTTTTTTTTTCCGTATTAAAGCAGAAACCAGTTCCTAAACCCTTTTAGTCAACTGTATATTCTGTTTGGACAAATATCAAAAATAGAAGACTGTGACTTTTGCTTTTGTAATTGTGATTTTTCACTGCAGTCTTCTATAACTTTTACAGAGTTCATGGTCCCTAATATCTCCCCACCCTCCATTTTTCCTAGGTGGGGAAATGGCTGCCACAAACTTCTCACTGATAATTAGAGTTTCTGGAAACAAGTACTGTTTGTTATTATTTAAGAGTGACTCAATTTGGGCACTCTGAGTGGATGGTCTACAGGTTTTCTTGTGGTGCATACCACAGTCTCCAGCATGAAATATTCTAGGAACTTGAGGAACCAGCACTTTCCAGAATTTTGGAAGACAAGATACAGTTAAATATTGAAGAGTCCAGTCCCAGTTATAATCATCATAAGTACAGAAAGTGTCTGTGCACTCAATCAGCTTCTGATATGCATCCCGGGTCAAGGCTAGACCCATATTGTGCTCTGTGGATTTCCAAGTTTTCACATCTACCTTGTCAGCAATGCCATGGAAACTGCGAATGGCCGTATAGGTCCCCAGGGAAAGTACATCACACTCAGGACACTCTTCCTGCTTTAACTTCCACATCTTTTTAAAGACATGGTAAAAGTCTGGGGCTAAGTAGTGATCCTCCTCTAGGAAAAGTATGAGGCCAGCATAGTCTCGAAGAACTTTGACTCTTTCCCATACAAAATGCAGCTTCCACCACCAATGGTGTTTGGTTTGGGAGAACTTGGCCTCTCTATAATGGCCAAAGGAGTCGGGATACTCAGCATTAATGCATCCCATCTTCAACGCTGCATTCTTCTCCAGGTCTCTGGGGCAATCTCTGGGGTCGCTGCCTGGAAACTCGCTGGGGTACAACTGAATGCTGAAAGGAAAGAACACCTGCAGAACCGGACAGAAATCCACCCCAGCGATCAGCTGATTGATCTCTGTCGACCAGAAGTCATGGCTAAAGATGACGAGGACGTTGTCAATGCCCTGGGCTTTTCGGAGTGAGTCCAGCAGCAGTCTGAGGTAATCCGGCCGGTTATGCACCTGGACCACCAGCACCAGCTCTCGGGGGGCCCAGGAGCCGGCCTTATCTACATTCCTCAGCGTCTGGTCAAAGTTCAGCTGGTACACCAGGGACCTGTACCGCAGCGTCAGGTTGTCCGCCTCGGGCTGCGGGGCCGCCGGGACCAGTGGAGCCGCCGACTCGTTGGAGACCCGGCGGATGCCCACGGACACAGCATAATGGTTCCCGCCCCGGCCGCCCGCTCCTCGCGCGAGCTCGGCGTCCAGCAGCGGCGGGGCGAGGGCCTCGTTCTTCCTTTGTCGCCCATTGCTGCTCCAGAGGACGAAGCCGCAGGCGGCCACCACGAGCGTCAGGATCAGCACCTTCCGCTTATAGATGCGGAACCTCATGGTCTCCAGGGCAGGGAGAGCGGGCGGGCGGGCGGGCGCGAAAAGGAGCTAGCGGCTTCTGCACAGAAGGGGCGGGCGGGTGGTGGCCGTCGCCTTGGCCTGTAGCAGTCAGAACTGGCCCCCGCAGCTGCCCCAGCTAACTCATCCCGGACCCCGGGAGTCCAGGGGCCCGAAGGGTCTCAGTTCCCCCGCGCCGCCCGGGCTCCACACATCCTCGCCTGGCAGCTGCAGCTCGGGCAGCGGCCCCGCCGCTAGGAGCCGCGGCTCGGCGCCGCCTCGGTCCTTTCCATTCAGCACGGGTCCCGGAAGAAGTCCCGCCGCGGCCCCACCGCACCCCCGCTTGGTTACCTGCGCCTCCAGCGGCCCTGCGTCCTCTGCGCTCTCATGCTTACGCGGGCCCCAGACCGCCAAGACCGAGCGACGTAGCCTCGCCCCACTCCGGCGCCGACCGTTCTGACAACCCGCGACTGGCCCGCGGAGCTCCGCGGCCCTCGGGCCCACACCCCTCCGGCCCGCCCCTTGGGCCGCTGGTTGGAGCTTCCCGGACGCGCCCGGAGACGACAGGCCCCCACTGCCTGCTGCCTATTGGTCCGTAGCACTGTCGCTCACGCTCAGTTCCTACTTCCGCTTCTTCCTCCCTTTTCCTGTTAGGCGCGGGCAGAGCGAGGCGAGGAGCGCGGACGTCGAGTTTCCAGGTAAGCTAAGACGGGAGTGTAGCAGTCTCAGCAGGAGCCTCCAGTGCTCAGAATCTGGGGATGGACCAGGCCTTTGTAGGAACTGGAGGGCGAGACCCGCTGTCTTGGCAGAATTAACTGGCTTCTCCCCTCGGCAGGGGGCTCACGAATGGCGGCTAGTGGGCCGGGAGACACTTACTAAGGACACGTCAGCCTTCAGGGCTGCTGACGGGTGCCGGTGCTTCGGAGGGGAAAAGTGAAACCAGACTGCTGCGGTTCCCGGAGAAGGAACGGAGGCGGGCCGTAGCTGTAGCTATTGACTGAAATCCCGCACTGAACCGGGCTACACCCAGGAGCTAGAACATGGAGGAAGAGGGTGCGAGGAAGAGTCGGAGACTCTAGCTTTGGTCCTCTCTGAGAAAGAAAATTAGATAAACACCACTATGCTTTTCTTCTTGGGACAGCCACAGTAAATTAAGCTCCAAAGGAACCCACTTTGTACGGGGAACTGGCTGCTGGGCGCCCCTGTACTGCTTTTTGCTGATTTTTCGTCTCATTCCATAAACGCTGTAAGCATTCCAAAAAGGTGTGCACTTCTAGGTGTATTGACTCATACGTAAAAGGAGTACTTGGTGGGTTTATACATTACTGATTAATGTAATTTTGTAATGTTTCCTATATTCTTAAAGCACTTTATTAAAAATGTTTGAAGTCTGTTACTGTAACTTAAAATATTTTACATTTTCATCGTGCAGACAGCGCTACTGCAGAGATGGTCAACGTTCCTAAAACCCGAAGGACTTTCTGTAAGAAGTGTGGAAAGCATCAGCCTCACAAAGTGACCCAGTATAAGAAGGGCAAGGATTCCCTTTATGCCCAGGGAAAGAGACGCTATGATCGGAAGCAGAGTGGCTATGGTGGGCAGACAAAGCCAATTTTCCGGAAGAAGGCTAAAACCACAAAGAAGATTGTGCTGAGGCTTGAATGTGTTGAACCTAACTGCAGGTCCAAGAGGATGCTGGCCATTAAGAGATGCAAGCATTTTGAATTGGGAGGAGATAAGAAGAGAAAGGGTCAAGTGATCCAGTTCTAAGCTTTGAGATTCTTATTTTTGAGAAGAAAATGTTGATGCTGTAGGAAAATTAAACCTGTATGAAAATAAATAGAGTGATACTTTTACCCAAATATTTTGTGTTTTTTAGAAATCTAAATAGAATGACATGCTTAATGTGATTCAAAATTAAGGAAATAGCAAATGTGTCAGTGAACTAAGGTTTATCCTCAAATTACTAAGTTTAGTTCCACAAAATTGGAATTTTGTATTTATATATAAAGAAGACAGGAGTTCCACCTCCCAACTTTACAAACTAGGTTATGGATAGAAACCACATACCAGGGAAAGAACTGCTACTTTCTTTACTTTTTCTGGCCAATTTCAAATATATGTGTTAGGTTAATTCATAATCACAATTGATGAGCTGCTGGGAAAGGTCTCAATCAGATTTTGAAAAAAGTAAATGAGGATTAATTAGGCAGACTGAGTGGGGCAGAGTATCCAAGTTGGGGTATAAAAAGAGCTGACTTGGAAGTTAGTGTCCAGTAGGGAGGACTAGCCATATATAGGTATTTAAATAAGAAATGCAGTTCCTCAGTTACACTAGCTACATTTAGTGCTCAACAGCCACATATGCTGACTGGCTAACCTATTGGACAACACAGATACAGAATATTTCCATCAGTTTTTTTGGACAGCACTGTGTTAGACTGGTCCTGAATGTAAGGCAGCAGTTTAAAACTGACTTCTAACTGCAAGACATTCTGAAGCTAGTGAAAAAAAACTGAGTCCATGATGGCATAAACTTTTTTGATTCTTTTAGAAGTTACTCTGGGAGATACTCAAATGTTACAACTTCTTGGTTATTGGGAGGTTTGAGAAAGTACACAGTTACCACTGAAAATAGAATGGAAGGCTGAAACTCAAAGTGAACCTTGTAACCCATGGAAGGCAAAACATGAGTATCAAAAGCAAAATGTGACAAAGGGTATGGGTTGTGAGAAGAAAAATTCTGCATTTTGTACAAGAATTTTTAAGTTGGCCTAGATATTTACATGGGATGGCTGTAGATGAGTAATGCAAAGGGCTAGGGTGTAGGAGTAACAGCTGGTTAGCACTTAGTCCCAACATAGATACACCTGCATTTGTTGATGAAAAAAGTAACTTTTGGGGCACCTGAATGGCTGTCAGTAAGCGTCTGTCCTTTGCTCAGGTTATGATCCCAGGGTCCTGGGATCCAGCCAGTTTCTGGCTCCCTGTTCAGCAGGTAGTCTGTTTCTCCTTCCTCTGCCCCTCCGCCCCCTTGTGCACACTCTGTCTCTCAAATAAAATCTTAAAAAATAATAAAAACAACTTTTTCTACAAGAACATTTAAAAATCAGATACACACAAGTTAAATATGCCACAATACATTTTTTTTTTTTAAAGATTTTATTTATTTATTTGAGAGCGAATGAGAGAGAGCACATGAGAGGGGGGAGGGTCAGAGGGAGAGGCAGACTCCCTGCCGAGCAGGGAGCCCGATGCAGGACTCGATCCCGGGACTCCAGGATCATGACCTGACCCGAAGGCAGTCGCTTAACCAACTGAGCCACCCAGGTGCCCTGCCACAATACATTTTTAAAAGAACCATGTTTTAATGTAGTTACATAATATTTATCGGTAATCCCTCACCATTTTGAGTTTAGAAAATTCTAAGATGTTTTACTTAATTATAGAATTCTTGGTTTTAAAGAGTAAAAGTGAATTAACTTTAGAAGGTGTATAAAGCCTGGGCTTAAAATCTCTGATCTGGGTTCATGGTACCTCCTAGGGTAATTTGTGAGGATTAAATAAAATACTGTATGTAAAACACCTGGAACAAAGATGCAGCTAAATGACAGCTTTTTATTTAAGTCATTTTTGCATTATATATGATTTTTTTAAATGAAAAACTAAAAATTATATAGAAATCTTTTGCGGGAAGAACTTAACTGACCACGAGAAATACAAATTTAAGGTCACCCAAGAATTACTCTGGACGAAAGAAACCACTCTGAGAAGAAAGTATGTTTTGGACATCATATACATAAAGTTTTAATAAAAATCTTCTAACAGTTAAAACAGTATTTACTCAGGAATATTCGTAATTTCAGAAAAGAATAAAATGCTCCAAATAAATATTTTAGGACAGAGGAAGTAGTTAGTTACCCTAAACCATAAGAAATAGTCTTATACAGACTACCTGTAACTCCAGGCCCAAAACAGCAATGATATGCTAACACCTAAGAGGGTTTTCTCCAGTAACTTTTACTCTTTCACCTCCTTTGTTCCCAGAAACCAGTTATGAGGCTATTACAATGATCTAAAAAAGAGGCTGATCTGAAGGACCATGGGAATGAACAGAATGGAGCAGTTCTGATTCCATTTTTCACAATTCTTTCAAACAGCTTCATTTTCCATTCCTTCGCCCTAATTCAAATCCTCATCATACTATAGCCGGTGTATTACCACTTTTTAAATTAAAAACATAAAAATATTAAGTGACTAAAATAATAAACAGAAAAAAGTACAACCTTCAAATACAGAATGTAGTCAGTAAAAAGTAGCAAATTTCTATACCTCCTACCCAACCCTAAAACCTTGTTCTAACTCTGAAAGTTAAAAAACTTAGAAATCACAACAGATGTAACATTATAAAACTTATAAAAGCTGAAGTCTGTTTATCCCAAAGCAACTCCAACTTTATGCTTGAATACAGAATTCCATATGTAGAATAATATACCTGAAAAACACAAAAAGGGGTATGCTTATGTAGTTTCATACCAAAGTTTTCACTAAAATTTAGACTTAGTCCTCCAAGATATATTTTCTACATACAGGAATTCAATTTCTTTAACCAAAATTCAAGAAGAAAATTGATAAGAAAATTCTATGACTGGAGTGATAGGGATCAGTATCTGTTTAACATTAAAAGATAATCCCACAACCCATTCTGGAAACACTAGGCTGAAGTCAACACAAGTGCAATAAACTGATAAAAGTTTCCTCACAATAAAATTAAATAGATTTTAATGAAATTAAGGTTTTACAGTCAAATGATTGAATATGTTAGAGTAACACCTTCTTCCCCTCAAGTACACGAAAGGCTTCCCTTTCTCCAGTTTGACACAGTTAAACCATAAATGAATCCCAAACTAATCTGTAACTAAATGGAATTTCTTTTTGTGGTATCACCTATTACTTTAACATATCACAGGAATTTACATAACAGGCTAGAGAACAGAAGTAAGAGATAACAGGTGCTTCAGTACCACCCATATTATCTACTAAGACCACAGTGTGAGCCACAGAGTGTAGATTCATGGTAGTAGTTCCCTGAATAAAAGAGTTTAGACAGATTCTTCCACAAACACAGGTTTTTGCAGTATCCAAATCTTGGCAAAGATGAAAAGGAATGATATGAGAGCCATATGGAATCCTATTGGAAAAAAAAGTTCAAAAAATATTTTTAAATACATTACTAGATTCAGGACTTCATGTATTAGGTCATGAATTACTGGACACTGAATTATAACCATGGAAAAATAAGATTACTCTATTAAGTGACTCAGTATATTGTCCTCTCTTCCAGTTAAGAATGGGGAAAATATACTAAAAACACCGTATGACATATTGTATACCAAAGAGGAGCTATACTACTCCATAAAGTATCTTTCAGCACTGTCACTTAATAGCAAAACCCATGGAATAGAATGAAAAGAGTCCTTTATGGATCTACAGTTTGACCAGTATAACATGATCGTTTAAAGGTACAGTTCTGTTATACAAT